AATGGAGTTCTCAGTAATGTTTCCCTTAAAATCAGTTTGACTTTGCAGTTCACACAGAAAGCGTTTTTCATTCCACTGCACTGCTTTTCCATCATTATTATATGTAAACGAGCTGGACGGATGGTGTGCTCTCTTCCAGCATCCCATGCAAGACATTGTATTCTACAAATGTGGTGCTCTAGTTAAAATAATGTTTTTAAAATGTATATTTTATAAAATAACTTTTATAAGTCTTTGTATGTTTTTCTATTCCACTACATTTTTAAATGCAAAAACATGTCTTGTGTGAACAGGCTTTAAGGGCAGGTTCACACACAGCACTATATACTTTGCTGTTTTAATCGTTCAACTGGCTTGACGGATGTCTTTAAAGGGAACATTGGATGCCCATTTTCCACAAGTTGGTATGATTCTTTAGGGTCTGCATGAAATGTCTGCAACATACGTAAAATGCTGTCAGCGGCCGTGGGCGGGGCTTGAGCAATATGATGTCATACTGAGCATAAAATCAAAACGGCTTGATAATTGAGACCGTTTAGGTTTTTGGGGGATTAAAAAAATGAAGTGAATGGATTTTTATCATTGTAAGGTGGTTGTGTCCACACACTGCTATTCCGTTGTATTACGTCTCGCATTTTTAAGTAATAGAATTCTTAAGTACTATTTTGTGTACTAGCATTTAATTATGCAAGAGTTATCACTGAGGAATAGTAAAAACTTTCGCCCTCACACAAAACTCCTGATCGCGAGGATTCCTAATGAATGACTGGATTTTGTCCGAGAAAATTCACTGAACAATGGTAAATGTGACTATAGCTTAAGACTTCATTTTAAGACTTGATTAATGTCTTAGATATCTTCTGAGGTTACTGAGGTATTTTAATCAGGAGACAAATCTTATAAGCAGAAAAAGTCTCAGTTCCCTGAGATCTCAGTGTTTTCTCTTTCCTGTGGACAACTGTTCTGCTACCCTTTCAGATCTTTAGGCAAATCATAGAAAGTTGCACTTTCCTGAGTAAACTGTATTTTACAGCTGCTAAGCTGCTCAATAATCACCCTAATAATGTCACTGATGGCAGTTCCTCATATCTGCTCAGCCAGTATATCATTGTAAAACAGGAGAAAACAGGTTACTCGCATTTAGACTAATCACAAAAAGCCGCATTCATATACTGAAGGGATAATGCCGTATTTTAGCTCTGATGGTATAGATATCTGGACAGGCCCACATGACACCGATGCAGAGTAAGCATTTTACAAGTGGCTCTGGTTCTTGCACACATTAACCTTAGGCTGTAATTTCCATTAAAGCTCCTCAACCTTCTGTTGTCACAGAAGTTCTACAGGCCTTGTTAAGTCCACTGCTGAGTCTGAGTGTCCTCATAAACATTTGAAGGGTTGGGGGCACGAGCCCCGGCTGCTTACTTTTAAAGCCCGCTAAGCTCAAGTCCCCTATCATTTATTAATGAGCTCTTAGGAAACCTTGAATTTTTAAAGCAGTGCGGGATGGAGATTAAAATTTAGCCCAAACCAGTTGTCGACATGCCCATCCGGCTTTTGCTGACTCTCTCTCTCTCTCTCTTCTCTTGCAGTTGTAATTACTCCTAATGCAAAAGCTTCATTTATTAACGGAAGGTGCTTTGAGCCATTCGCTGTATAAATGCTCAACCTGTTCCTGTTGTGTGAGAGACTGTGTTTACTGTGCATTTCATTTATGCTGTTCCCTTTCCCTTCCTATTTATGTTGTTTTCTGTTTGCCGATGTAGGGAAAATCACTATGAGGCTGATCCTGGCTACACCTCATATAAGGGTTTTCCCTCAGTATCTATGTTTCAACAGCCATTGCAAATGTTGTGAGGATGCTCCTTTCTTTACAACTGCCCTTAACTTAGAAGGTTTCAAAATATGGAATATGGAAAGTATACACAGTCACTTTCCATACAAAACTGACTATATAGAGCGAAATGTTAAGATTAAATATTCAGCTGCAATTTAATGTTAAATTTAAAGTATGTTGAATTTATAATATCATGATTTAATAATATGCATAATATTATAAAGACAACATGTTCCAAATTTAAATAATTGGTTTGATATTGTCTCTGTTCTAAGGCCAAATTATTAAAATATTATCTAGAGATAATTTCCTTAGGTTTTTATTATTATTATTACTATTATTAAAACTATGGCTGACAATAGAATAAAATGTGATTAATATCACGATTTCCAACCATTTTTTATCAGGCAAAATGAAATAGTAATAATATTGGTTTTGACAACACATAACTTTTTTTTTTTATATATAAATACGTTTTTTTTTCTCAAATTTGTTTGAAACTCCCTGGTTTATATTATATTGAGATGTTATTCTATGGTCTACAGTTATTCGATAGTCTACAGTTATTATTCTGTCACGGGAGCAAAGCTGGACAACGTTTTACAGCTAAATCTTTCTTTTTAAAGGCCAGTGGCGAAATATGGATTTTGTCGGACACGGGAGGCGCTCAAAGCATGAGCAACTATTGGGAAGATTACAGTCACTCCATATGCTATATAAGATTTATCCTCAACACAAACCTCTTTGAAATGAGATCCAGTTATCTGCTCACTGGTAAAATAGTTTTCTGCCACCATCACAATCCTCTACAGCCTTAATGTTGTAGTTTTGGCAGGAAAGTGTGAGAATATTTTCCATCAAAATGTGTCTGTACTCCTCAGTTAAAGGAATAGATCACCCAAAAATGAAAATTTGCAGAAAATTTTGTCACACTCATCCAGGATGCAGATGAGTTTGTTTCTTCATCAGAACAGATTTGGAGAACTGTAGAATTACATCACTTGCTCACAAATGAATCCTCTGCAGTGAATGGGTGCCATCAGAATGAGAGTCCAAACAGCTGATGAAAACAAAGAAATCCATCCAAGTAAACCACACGACTCAGTCCATTAATTAAAGTCTGTAAAGTGAAAACCTGTGTTGGTAATGAACAAAATTATCATTATAACATTTTTAAAATCAAAGTGTTGCCTTTGGATAAAATTTATTTCCTTTATCCATAATATTGCTTACTCCTGTAAAGAAGTTGTCTCGTAGTCTTAAAGATGTCTTAATAGATTTGTTTACTAAAAACACACAGCTTTTCACTTCACAAGACATTAATTGATGGACTGGAGTTGTGTGGATTACTTGTTGATTATTGTGATGTTTTTATCAGCTGTTTGGCCTCTCATTCTGACGGCACCCATTCACTGCAGAGGATCCATTGGTGATGAGCAAGTGATGTAATGCTTAATTTCTCAAGATCTTGACATCTTGAATGGCCTAAGGGTGAGTAGATTTTCAGAAAATGTTCATTTTTGGTTGATCTGTTGCTTTAAAGAAATATAATTAGTTATCTGTTCTTGTTTTAAAATGCCGCTGTTGCAAATAATTTTTTGGGTTTTCCTGCACCAATTTTTTGTTCTTCTTCTCAAACAAGACTTGTTTTTGAATTAGTTTGAAAAGATTGCAAGGACACAAAACTGCAATCAGTTTTCTTTGTCATTTTGGTCACGACTTCCATGTGCTTATCATCTTAAGTAGCAACTGTTATCTATATTAAAATAAGGCTGTCTGATCAGAGAATAAGTGCATGCAAAGTCTGGAGAGATTTGTTTGTAGTCATATCCCTACGATGGATGGGTCAGCAGAATTATATTTGGCATGTTTACATTAGTTACGTTTGCAGAAAGAGTTCAGAGGAATATTTCATCCCTTGAGTCAAAGTGACTGACGGTATCTTGGCAGCAGGTGTTCTACTGGAGGCCGTCCAATCACAGAGCACGTCTGTAGAGTGTGCACCAAAGCTGAAGCCAATCAATTTTAGAGAGAAGAAGTGTTGCAACCAACTCATCCTGTTCAAAGCACTATTCAGTCATCTTCATGAATTGAGTATCACCACCGCAATCCACTTTGCAAGAATCCCAAAGCAACCCACACTCCTTTGGTCTGACACTAAATAATGTTCACGGAAACAGTACAGTCGAGTCATAATATTTTGCATCAGTTTCTTTATTGTAAATGCACTGTGGGTAGAAATTGTATAAAATGTAATATTGCACAATATAAATCAATTGCACTTTTTTCAAGGTATAATGATGCATTTGTGTTATGCTACAAGAATATGCAGGTACTGTGCTCCAATTAAATAACAAGATACTGTGACCAAGAATTTTTTTGTTTGAACATATTAGTACTTTTAAATATATAACCAATAGTTATCAAAAATGTCCTCCAAGTATGAAGGTTCTTGGGCTACCAGCTAAATACAGTGTTTGGCACTGTAGTGAAGATATTAGACTTGTGAATATCTAACACAAAGACTGTTTAAAGCTAATAAAATGCTAAGCACAGTTTCTATATACATAGCCCTCTATATGTTACCTGCATGATTATACTCCCCAATTTGTGTTGTGATCATTTCATTATTTTGCTTTAGGTGGGTAAACAAGCACAAGATTTCAGTGATTGACTGCCATCATTAAAATTTAATTGCGCAAATGACACGTCAGCTTGAACAGAGTGGTGTGTTTTATCGAATAGAGCCTATTTCTATTGTTTTGTGTTCTGTATTTGTGCACTTTCCACCCTATATCACGAAACAATGATCATCTAAACAGATTTGAGGTGTTCTCATATTTTTTCACCATGGAACATATTGTCTGTAATCTCCAGCCAATTCTCAAGCATCTCTATGAGTCTGAAAAATATATTTACTGAAAAATTTACCTAGGTTTACAGTATGTTATAAATGCAGCGTCATATTCCCAAGAAAATAGTTTCAGACCTGAACATCTGCAAATCGAAATTTTACTGTAAATGTTTTTCTTATTCCAGAAATATTGATTGCCCATTATTTGATGCAGAAATCCATATAATTGAAAGACAAATCACTGTATTTTCGTAAATTATTATTATTTTACTTTTTTGAGAACACCAGCGTGTAAACCCTTTTTCATTCATACATTTACAGCCTAACCATTTCTGACATACTTATTGTGCATTCTCAACATTTTCCAGAAAAATATCTCTACAAAGTCATTGATTATTAGTGCATGCAGTCAGCTGATTCTGCATTTGCTCACTAATTTAATTTCATTAATTTAATTTATTCTGTCATATAATGATAATCAATTGGTGAGAGACTTTGAGAAAGAAAGAAAAAAACGAAAGAAAGACTGGAAAAGAGACAGAGGTATATCTCAGCTATCAAATCTACTTTATACTTCCCAAAAGTTTGTGCTTTGCTGATTAGATGTATTTGATGTACGGCTCCAAAGTAGTTTTGTGGCAAACTAGCATTTAGCTTTGAAGTTTCTTGTCGCCTCTGCAGGGTCCCTAAATTAAAATGGGACAAATGTAGAAAGAAGAAAGAGAGATCTCAGAGTTAGACACTGGAAAATATACACACACACACACACACACAACGCATCTACAAACATCCCTGCTCTCTTACCTTGCAAACTTGACTAAACCTAAGGATCATTGAGTAATCCCATTGAAAAATGTGAGATCAGGTGAATTCAGCAGTTCCCAAACTCAGAGGGTTTATCAGATGGTCATGATTAGAAAACAACTGTTATTCCTTATTAGAATCCAGTTGCTCAGTGGATCCCATGTTCCAAAACGGTGGCTAGCAGTGAGCATTTCTCCATGTTTATCCAATTAGTCAAGCAAAATTCCACTAGAATTCACTCTTTGTGATGGTTTCAGGGATCCTGAATCCATGTTAGAGGAACCAGAGTTTCCATCGCGCATGCTTCTTGGACTCAGTCTTGGACTTGCGTTTGGGGGTGGAGGTGAACACCTCGTGCGTGTAAGGCAGAGAAGGGTAGGACGGCTCTTCGAATGGACACAGTCTCTTCATTAAGGGCTGCAGTTTGTCCTCTTGAAGTTTAAAATCTAGTTCCACACTAAAAAAGAAAAAGGGAACATTATAGGTGAGGATAACGTAGAGTAGAGATCATATCAAAGCAGATTACACAAAAGTGTCTAGATGAGGATCTAAATTAGTCAAATTAAAGCCAACAATAAATCAAATTTGACTCAAAATTTGATTTACTCTTTCTTAAATTAATTTTCCATATCTTATTGTGCCTATTTCATCAACGACATCGTAAAACTCTATTCCAAAGTGCATCAATATATTTTCTTCATAATTTTTCATCATGCAACCCTCTGAAACGTCTTTCCTTTTCTGCCTTTTCTGTCCTTCAGTCTGTTTTGATATAATTTACAAATGTAATATATTTTTAAAAGGGTAATTGTTTTATTATTGTTTTTTTGAAAGAAATTAATACTTTATTTGGCAAGGATTCATTTAATATATTAAGTGACATTAAATATATTGTTATATATATATATAACATATTTTAAATAAATGCTGTTCTTTTGAACTTTCTATTCATCAAAGAATACTGAAAAATATTATGAATATTATGTGTCCACAAAAAAATTAAGCAGCTTTTCAACATTAATTGAAATATTTATTGAGAAGCAAATCAGCATATTAGTGTGATTTCTGAAGGATCATGTGACACTGAAGACTGGAGTAATGGCTGCTAAAAATTCAGCTTTGCATCATAGGAATAAACTACATTTTCAGGTATATTTAAATAGAAAACAGTTCTTTTAAATTGTAATCATATTTCACGATAACTTCGTTCTTTTTTTTTTTATCAATTAAGAGACTGAGCATAAGAGACTTATTTCAGAAAGATTAAAAAGTCTGACCCCAAACAATCAGTTCCCAATGGATGTAATCAATTTTTCTAGTTCCTGTTGAAATCCTCTTTCACTCAGTAATAATTTGACAGTAAAATTAGTTGCAAATGCCATTTCATGTTCAAGTTTTGTCTGCCTTAGTAAATGTTTTGAGTGTATACCACTCATTCCTTACCTCTAACATCATGACTAAGCTGTTTAGCTCAGTCTCAGCGTTTGTGTGTATGTGTGTGTTTGACAGTCCTCGCACAGCCACAGTCTGACCTAGTCTTCCCTCTAAAGTCATAATCCCATGACAATCAGATGATTCCTGATGATTGCAGTGGCTAAACTCCCAGATTAATCATCAGAGACGGCTTTAATCTGATCTAAATGAAATCATTCATAAAGCAGAGTCTGAGTCATCAGAGTAAAGAACAGAGACACACAGACCAATCACACACATATCAGTACCACTCACTTTCAACTGCTCCATTCCTCACTCGCCCCCTTCTTTTCACTTCCCTGCGCTACAAATGAGCGTATTGGAAATCAATGTTTGACTCATCAATTCCTCCATTCATAAAAGATTTGTGCAAAAAGAGAGCTCTCTAACCAAATTGCAGAATGGGAGTCAATTATGTTTATCTACGTCTTTACACTGAAGGTTTGTTTGGTTTGCGGTAAGGAACGCTTTATATATGACAATCGAGCCCTTTGGCTTTCATTCAAAGTTTTGTATTGGATAACACACATTTCATTTAATTACAAGCTGCTATGGTGAAACGCAGACATTAATCGTTCAGATCATTATGGAATTTTGCACTGAATTTCAAAGCCTTTGAAAATACGATAGCGCTTTATCACAATTCCACACATACAAACCCTAAACCAAGGACTTTTTTCCCATCACATACGTATCGAGACAACAGAACAAACCAATAACAGACTAAAACCCATGGAGACAAAGCAATCTGCATCTCATTTTCAAGTCTGTCCTGGATTTTCACAAATGATCAGAAAAACTTCTCTGGCATGGTATATTTAGAAGCTGCAGTGTTTGGTTTGTCTATTTACAGAACTTGTGAAAGCTCAGCGATTCTCGGCAGACACTCTGAGGGTGAAAGAGAATGGAACAGCCGTGTGTTCCTGCTCCGGGTTGGGCTAAACTACACTCAGCAATTGATCACAGGAAAAACCCGAGCAGTTACCTTGTGTACACTACCAGCAGGGGGGTGTAAAACATATGGGTGGCTGGTGAACAATGCACAGCAAACAATTGCAGGATCTGCAAACCTGGCTCAGATTGGAGATGATGTCTTAAGGTTTTCAAGTATCCTAAGAAATGTTCTTTATTTTCTGTTCTCATATATGGAGTTTTGTAACAGCAAATGCTGATTATCTGTTACAGGCGAATTCGATTCATACATCCTTTTGTAAAAAAGGAAAAATCCTACTCTACAAAAAAATTTAAATGTACAACCAATGATATGAGTTATATATGACAGTACATGATGATACTTCCTGTTCAGCAAATGGAAAATACTTTAACTATAAGCATTATAGTTATAGTTAAATATACTATAAGCATTTCTAATAATATATTTACTAGATTTAATTAATTCTTCTACTTTCTATTAATCAAAGAATCCTGAAAAAATGTATCATGGTTTCCACAAAAATATTAGGCGTCACAACTGTTTTCAATATTGATAATAAGAAATGTATCTTGATCACCAAATCTGCATATTAGAAAGATTTTAAGAATAAATTACATAAATTATGTTATTTTGAATTGTAGTAATAATTCATAATATTACTATTTTTACTGTATTTTTGATACAAAAAACAACGTAGCACTGCTCAGCGTAACAATATTAGTATTGGATACATGGATAGTAAAACCTGAAATTGCAAACAAATGCAATGTGTGTGTGTGTGTGTGTGTTTGTGTGTGTGTGTGTGTGTGTGTGTGTGTGTGTGTAATACCAGAAAATTTTGACCTTGTGGGTACAATTTGTTTTTTTGTTTTTTTTGGTCCCCATGAGGAAAAAAGCTTTTTGAAAATCTAAAAATGTTGAAAGTTTTGTGTGAGGGATAAGAAATATGGTAAGGGGATAGCACATCCTTTAGCTATCCTTTTATCTTCCAGTAAATTTACATGAATTTAATTTTAAATTGATTTTTAATAAAGCGTTGTGGGTATGAATAGGTGATTGTTGAAATAACTCCCTGTGGTTGACATCAAATATAAGTGACCCAGGTTCTTGCTCAATTATTTGCTTCACTGCTTTGCTGTAATGTAGACACATACACACACAAACATGCATACGGTCAAACTCGGTGGGGGGTGGGGGGTGTTTGTAGACATGGAGCTAAATATTTAATCACAGTAACACTGAACGTCATCCTTTATACAGGTATACAAACATTCAGCCGTGAGCTACGGTCAATGACAGGGTACAAACCCGGCCTGTCAGATGCCACAAATATTATGTTCAAACACTTTACCGCAGGGACAAACTGTAATAGGTTCAGTCAATGAGAGGTTGTATTAAAAGAAAAGCTCAATCTTGGACACAACAATGTCAAATATTATGTTCCAGTACGAGTCAAGATAGCAATTGATTTTAGAAGGAGGCCTAAAGGTTTTTATCTGAGTGAGCGGAGGCTGGTGCGAGAGATCAGCTGGATCATTTCTGAGGGTTTTACTGAAGTAAGTGGATTATTATCAAGCTCTGTCTGTAATTTCTGCTCAAGCGGCACCGCTGTCCATCCCTGCTGTGCACATTGCCGGGTATCTCTGCCACCTCTTATTCAAACTAACCACTCGTCCTCCACCAACCTGACACGTGACCCGCTTGAGTCCATTTGTCTGGATTCATGTGGTGCCGTGTGGACAGGACAGACTGAGGTGGTGCTGAAGGACGGGGCCCATCACATGACTAATGGCCGCATTGTACTTGCCTTGAGAAGGCAGCCGCAGAGTGAACTTATCCAGTCCACTATGCCAACAACAGGCATCACAATCAACACATCCTCACTGGCCACTCTGCCAGCACAGGGCAGGAAATTCGATTTTTTTTTGCAATCAGACAATCAGACTCCCTCTTGTCTTCTGGTTCCTCTCCTCTGTTTAGTAGTGAAGAACTGGTTTGCTAATTAGTGCTCAGCACAGTGTTCAGCACTGGTGAGTGCCGCCATTCAAAAGCATGAATGTTCACACTCTGGGTCAGTCCTGTCCTACTATGTAGTACATTTATTTTTATCATATACAGAGGTGTCCAAATGTTCTTTCAAGCAAAGACAGAAATAAGAAAAATAATAATTAAAATGGCATGAAAAATTCTGACATTCTTGAACGTTTTTCAAACTTTAAAAAGTATCCACATTTTTTTAAGTATTATTATAAATATAAATCAATCAATCAATCAACAGGAGGAGTTTTGCCAACGCAAATATTACCTATTAAATTACCTATTAAAGCCACAGCAAAACGGTTAACATCTCCACAATTTCTGATCCCACCTTCCCTGCAAATCACTCTCCAAAGCCACGCCTCCTCCAAAACACATGAACACGCACAGCAGACCAGAAACTAACCAGTGACACAATGAGAGAAGGTGTTGATGGAGGGTTGAATGTAACGCTGTCATGTTAGCTCATGTCTCATTCATCGGTGAGAAAACAATGCAGTACAAAGCGCGTAATATTACAATAATAAATACTTCCATTCTCACTCGGTCTGCAATAGCGTAATGGAACGCGCTGATGACGTATAATGTCTATGTGAATAGGGTGTGCGGAGGTATGCAAATACATACATTGAGAGGACAGCCTATCGTAGCCCTCGGACTGAGGAATATGATTGGACGAACGTTTTATTGTCCTACACCTTCCACAGACGAAATAAATACATATAAATACATTTAGACCACGTAACTTATTGATTGTTATGTGAAGAGACTTTCAACCAGCATAACAAAAAATGTTTTTGAGCCAAATCCCCCACCCTGCGTTTAATTCTTGAATGAATCAGCCTTTGAACAAATTTAATAAATGAATGAATAAAACACTCAATGACTTACTCATTAAGACCTTTACTGCCACCTACTGGCAGTTTTAGTTTCTTATTTACATTATAATTTTATTAAAAAATAGTATCATATTTATATATTAATAAAAAACCTGAATATAAAAATAATAAAAA